TCTCTGGGATCATGGCCATTAAGCAGCTTGATTAGGAGCCAGAAAGGCTGTTCATGGGCAATGACTTGGGGTCTCATTGGGGTGGGGAGGACAGGACCGGCTCCACCCCCATCCCATGAGGCCTAAATGTCTCCTCACTGCGGGCCCAACCCTGACTGTCCAATGGCCTCTGGAGGATGGCGGCCACCGAGCCGCCAAGGGGGAGCAGGCGGAGTGACAACACCCTTTCCCCCCTGGGGTGGCCCAGTGACAGTAACCTGCTGCACCTACTGCAGGGTCCGGACGCATTTCTGCCAAAAGCCACTGGGTTTCGAGATTTGTTTCTGGGTCTCTGTGATCATGGCCATTAAGCAGCTTGATCAGGAGCCAGAGAGGCCGTTCGTGGGTGATGACTTGGGGTCTCGTTGGGGTGGGGAGGATAGGACCGGCTCCACCCCCATCCCATGAGGCCCTGTGTGTCTCGTCACTGCAGACCCAACCCTGACTGTCCAGTGACCTCTGGAGGATGGCGGCCACCGGGCCGCCAGGGGTAACAGGCCAAGGCACGAAACCTATTCCTACCTGGGTTGGCCCAGCACCAGTAACCTACTGCAGGGACCAGATGCATTTCTGCCAAAAGCCATTCGGTTTCAAGATTTGTTTCTGAGTCTCTGGGATCATGGCCATTAAGCAGTTCAATCAGGAACCAGTGAGGCCATGCCTCCAATTATATAGCTGAGCCGGAGGTGGTTTGTGGGTGTGTTTCCCACATACCTAACTTTTGGCCGTTTACTTTCTTGGTAAACTTTGCCCCAAGTTTTTGGGGTCTGGCCAAAGGCACTCCTGCTGTATTCTTGAAAAATAGTTCTCCCTGTCTATTATTTGGAGACCCTCCCAGCTGTGTATTTTTTTGGGAAATGAACGGCACTGTATCCTGTAACTTCTGTTGAGACTTATTACAGTAAAAGCAAAATGTTTCAAGTGTACGTACTTGTGGCCTTCATTCTGGATTAAAACTATTTTTAAGTGATGAGCCCCTTTTCACTTTAGAAGGCAACCATTGTTCCCAGCTATTCTTCCTGGGGCTTTAAGGAAGCCATTTCTTGCACTAAAGTGTAATTAAAGCAAGCCTCTTTGTTACAGTTACCTGTTAGGAATTTCACATTGTCTTTCTAGTTCTCACAGAATCAAGTTTTTGCTTTTACTTCTTCCTTAAAGATTGTTTATATAGTGACTAGGGAGATATCTCTGTGGCCAGGTATACAACCATTACAGGGACCCAAGTTCCATTCCTTGAACTGCATGACCTCCAGGGTATGGCCCTGAAGACCCCCAAGCACCACTGGGTGTATCCCTGTGTTCCCCGGTATTGCTGGGCCTGCATAGCAGCAGATGACTAGGCTAAGTGCTGAACCACCCAATTCCCTTCAGCTAAGTATTACCAAAAGTGGCCCTGGCATCCCCATGAGCTTTGCTTGAATGGCAGAGAAAAAAGACCAGTAATATAAAAAGTAGTTTGTATGCCCTTTAGTGTTATTGCCTATGGCCTCCTAGTGCAAAGTTCATTTTGGAGGCTATTGCCAGTTAATGCCTTATTTACCTGAATTTGACTTTCCACACATCGTGTCTTTGATTTGTAAGAGGTTTTCTGTTGTAGCCTTAGAATGAGCAAGAAGGAGGGCTCTTAATATTGAGAGAACCATATTGTTCTATATTTACTTTTAAGAATAGGGAAAATAATTCTTCTATGTTTATGTGTAACTTCACGGGGAGCGATAGCACAGCGGTAGGGCGTTTGCCTTGCACGCAGCCAACATGGCCGACCCGAGTTCGATTCCTCTGCCCCTCTCGGAGAGCTCGGCAAGCTACCGAGAGTATCTCGCCTGCACGGCAGAGCCTGGCAAGCTCCCCGTGATGTATTCGATATGCCAAACACAGTAACAACAAAGTCTCCAATGGAGACGTTACTGGGCCCGCTTGAGCAAATCGAAGATCAACGGGAGGGCCTTTACTTTACTCTTTTACTTTATGTGTAACACGTCACTAAAGCCTAAGCCTTAGTATTGTGACATTTCACTGGGCTTAAAGCCAAAAGTAATGTGAAGCTAACAGTAACATGTCTTCTTCAAGGATTAATGCATCTGTATAAAAATGTAGCAGACTCAGGGAGCCCAGGGTCACTCCTAATGATGTTGGTTCCTGAGGTACATTGCTGTAAGGGCTTGGCAGAGCTACACCCAGGAGTGTTCAGGAGACCATACAGTGCTAGGCATTGATGTCAGGGCCACACACTTACAGGATATGTGCTTTAACACTTAAGCTGTCTCACTGACCCTTAACCCATCTATTTTGGTCCTTACCTCCTGAAAGGTACTAGGAAAAGCCTCTAAAAGCTAGTATGAATTAACATTAGAAGATTAGTACCTCTAATCTAGGATTTGCCTATAACTAGTTCCTTTACTGAAATTTTAAGTATAGGGGGGAGAGAAAAGTAGCCAGTAGTCTATAATACATTGAAGTGCTCTCTTTTTTAAGATTTGGTATGTCCTGCTCTTGTATTCTCATCAGTACTGTAAATCATTTCAATCAACACTGTAACTATGCTCAGAAAGAATATACAAGCACTTGAGCTTCATTTTAATTTGTTGTCTTTGAGTTTCAGTGGTCAACAATTTGGAGCAAAGTATGGGAAATACCATTTACTAAGAACCTCTACTCCCTGCATTAAAGTCTCAGTTCAAGTTTCAGAAACTGTATATGGTTGGTGCAAAGACTCCATGTGCTAACCCTAAATTCTTGCCTTGTGATTGAGCCAATAGCTTTTAGCCTTTGACCTCCTTAATATGTGACTTCCTGGTAATAATCCTTTCTTCCCAGAGCTTTGGAGAAGCACTTAGACAAAAGTATTTATGTTACAATGCCAAATAAAGCCTGAATTCCAGTAAGGAAAAATAGCTTGTTCTTGTGATCGGATATAAACAAGCTAATAAGTGATTTAGGTTTCCCTTCTAGGTGGTTGTTGATCCAATACTGAAAAAAAATAATTTTCCCTTCCCTGGGAGGAAATCAGTACTTACCCCTTCCCTTTAAGTAACCACTGCCTGGATATTTGTCTAACTCCACGAGGACATTTTTCTGGGGTATTCATCTATGATATTTATTACCTTTTAGAATAGGTTCTTGACTGTTCTAAAGTAGAGTAGAATTGACTTAATGTAAAATTTAAAAATAACCCACATTCTATTCACTTTTCTGCTGTTACCTTTTTTATGTCTGTTCTTCGGGTGGTATATTCATGAAATACTTGGATATTACAGAAGTAGAATCAGTAGTAACAGCGTAAATAGAAATGTAGCTCAATAAATAAGTAGAATTAAAGTCCTACATGTGTGAGAACTGCATCCGATTCCTGACATCAAAAAATGAAGAGTAGAATCTATAAAATGGGTTAACTTTCACCTGTGAGTACTTAAGTAGGGGGAGTGACAGGGAGATAACTCAAAGGGCTGGAGCTAATGCACTGCATGCAGAAGCTCCATGTTTAATCCTTAGTACCACGTGATCTCCTGAGCACTAACGAGCAATTCCCAAAGAACCACCAGGTGTGGCCTCCAAACCAAAAAGTAAAAATATGAAACTTTGGCTTATTGAAATGGCTAAGTGTTTCACTCTGGCCCAGCGATATTTTGAGAGAACAGGAGAGGTGCATTAAATATGTCAATCGCTGCATGACCTTATTTTTGCAAAGACAGCACAATTATAATAAAGATGACAGACTCTTGAGGTTTAGAAAATGGAAACATATAGGTGTTTGAGGTGTATATGACTACAGAATAGTTCTAGCACTTTACTTTTTTTCTTTTTTTTAGTGTAGGAGTATTGCTATTTATTCAGCCATTGATTAGGCTGATTGGGTTGGGCATGAACTCCACCTTACTTTTTTCTTTCTTTTTTATAAATTTATTTATTAAATCAACGTGAGAGCAGTTACAAAGCTTTTCGGTCTAAGTCTCAGTCATGATAAAATGATAAAACACCTGTCCCTGCAACCAGTGCCCATTCTCCACCACCAAAAACCCCAGTACACCCCCTATACCATACCCTCCCCCTACCTGTATGGCAGATGATTTCCATATTACTCTATCTCCACTTCGATTTAATTTAATATTTCTACCCCAGACCCACCATTATTTGTAATTTTACCCCAACAGCTTGATCAGGAGCCAGAGAGGCCATCCATGGGCAGTGACTCGGGGTCTCTTTGGGGCGGGGAGGAAAGGGCCGGCTTCACCCCCATCACATGAGGCCCGCGTGTCTCTTCACTGCGGGCCCAAACCTGACTGTCCAATGGCCTCTGGAGGATGGCGGCCACCGAGCCACCAGGGGGAACAGGACAATGAAACCTATTCCCACCTGGCGTGGCCCGGCACCAGTAACCTACTGCAGGGACTGTACGCATCTCTGCCAAAAGCCACTGGGTTCTGAGATTTGTTTCTGAGTCTCTGGGATCATGGCCATTAAGCAGTTTGATCAGGAACCAGAGAGGACTTCCCTCTAATTATATAGCTGAAGCGGAGGTGGTTTGTGGGTGTGTCTCCTACATATCTAACTTTTGGCCGTTTACTTTCTTGGTAAACTTGGCCCCAAGTTTTTGGGGTCTGACCAAAAGCACATCAGCAATTTTGGGGTATCTAGGAGTCTGAAGGCACCATCAGGCTACTGAAACACTCGCCTCACAGGTACAGCTTTACCTGCTGGTGGCACCATACCCCAAGTTCTAGCACTTTAAGTGATCTCTATCAAGTCAGACAGAGGGTATGTTTCCAACCCAGGTTTGATCCTCTGATCCTCAACAGGAATGATTTCTGAGCACAAAGCTAGCAGTAACCCCTGAGTACTACCAGTTATGACCCCCAAAATAAAAAATATAATCTCTATACATTTGAAAAAAGTGACCAATGTAAAAAACACCACTGAACTTGAGAATCTTTTCCTAATTTGAAACATCTTTGTCATTTCAGGAAGAAACTGCTGCTTGTATGGCTGCAGCCATTGATACAGCAGAGGAATCAGAAGCTGTAAGTAATTGGCCCATTAGATTGTAGAGCCCACAACTTCAACTATGGCATTTTCTTTTATTTATCACTCAGCTAAAGACAAGAATCCCTAATTTCTATCATTCTCCATAGAATGCCCCGAAAACCTAGACAATCTTTAGTGTGCATCTCAGCTTTATAAAATCTCTATCTTGAATAAACTCTGTCTCTAGTTGTATACTCTGTCTCTATTAGTATAACTGGCTAGTGTGTGCAAGGTTTCTAAGGATGATATTCTATATTTGTATTCTGGCTTACTGAATTCTTTTTAGATGCTGGTATTCTCAATCTGCTGCCTACCAAATTAAATTGGGGAGGTTAGGAAATTAAGAAATTATGGAATAGTCAAAAAGCATTAATAAATAAATGGAAAGAGGTTTTTTTCTCACCAAAATATTTTTCTTGTGTAGGATTGTTTAAAGTTAAAGGTTAAAAATTATTTTGAGTATTCAAGTTACAAGAATAGATAATCGATGTTGGTTGAGGACTATCGAGCAAAGTCAAAATGGTTTGCTTAAAGCAGCATTTCTCCCGACACAAGGATATGTCAATTGTTTTTATTTTTCTGAAAGAAGAGTTAGGCGATAAATCGGGTATAAATGAAGCATCCACTCTATTACCACTATTCTAAAAATGCCAGTTCCAAGGCCCTGTCTTCTCTAAGTATTCTTAGAATGAGAAAAATTGAAAAATATCAGTAAAGATCTTTTGGCAAGATCAGTAAAGAACAGGAATCGGTTTACTCTCAAAGAATCAATTAAAATATGTAAGATGTAAGGTGCTTGTAAAGCAGGAAAATGTGCTAGCTTAATTTATTTTAGATGTTTAAGGCAAATGATAGTTGAAAAACCACTGTTAAATAATACAGCGTACTAGGAGCTGGAGTGATAGCACACCAGGTACAGCGTTTGCCTTGCATGTGGCTGACCTGGGTTCAATTCCCAGCATCCCACATGGTCTCCCAAGCACCGCCAGGATTAATTCCTGAGTGCATGAGCCAGTAGTAACCTCTGTGCACCGCCACATGTGACCCAAAAAGCAAAAAATATAATAATAATAACAATAATAATACAGCGTGCTAGTAATAGAGTTTTTGATGTGAGACTTAATGAAACAGTGCTTAAGGAATTCCAATTGGTTGTTATTCTTGTACATCATTTTTCTAACCTTTTGCAGCAAGAGGATAACAGCCCAGAGACCAGCAGATCTTCTGATACGTTCACTACTCAGCATGCTCTGCGTCAAGCTCAGATGTCTAAGGAACTGGTTGAGTTAAATAAAGCCCTTGCCCTGAAAGAGGCTCTAGCCAGGAAGATGACTCAGAATGATAACCAACTACAGCCTATTCAGTTCCAGTACCAGGTAAAATATTTACTAGGGTACCGTGTGTTCATGTCTACCATATCAATTTAATTGAACTGAAGGGGGAAAAAGTATAGCATTATTTGTGATAACAGGATATGCCTAGTACAACTAGAATTATGCTGTTGGTTTAAAAAAGAAGATACATTCAGGATAGGAAATATATAATTTTATTGTATAATTTCTTACTGACATATCATGTATGTGATAAATAAGTTATTGTTATAATAAATGAGTCCCTACTTGTGGAGAAGTTTTGTTCTAATAATTGTGTCAGAGTTCTAAGAGAGAGGTTCCCCTAAGATGATTTGGGTTATAGAGTAAACTATGAAAAGCTTTGTAGTGGGTATCACATGACTTGCAAGTGGCTAAACTGTTTTCCCACAGTAGTTCTAAGTGGCCTTTGCTATGTGTTTATTTAATGCCAAATCTTTGACTTTCAGGGTATTAACATTACCCTTGCTCTAGACCTCATTTTCGCTTGTAGCCAGTGTTTACAATCAGAGGTAAAGGCATGTTATTAGCACGACTGATAGCAGGAAGGGTGAATTGATATCATATCTAGCTTTATCCTAATACCTCCAAAGTATTCTATATATGGTATATTGAGAAGTCCCTATAGTACTTTTGTGTTTCTATCACATGTTCCTCTAAATTTTTAAAGTAAAACAAGAGAAGTGTCTTTTCTTTAAAAAAAATTGGTTACATCAGGTTGTACTTGGGGCTAAGTCATGGCTGTTTGTTGAGGAATTACACCTGGCAGTATTTTGGGAACCATTTGTAGTTCTGGAGATTGAACCAGTGTTGGTGGCTTGCAAGACAAGTGCTTAATCCCAGTACTATTTTTCTCTTCAATCATTTTCACCTTTTCTCCCAAAGTGTAGAGGTAAAAAGGGGGAGAGCGAGCAACAGGGAAACAGAGACAGAGAGAGAGGAGAGAGAGAAAGATGGGAAGAGGACAGGAGTTGGTGTTTGTTGGGGGGTTGGCATAGGAACATTATATGACAAACTAAATCATGAACAACTTTTAGCTGTGATTCAATTTAGCAAAGTGGGGCGGGGGGAGGAGAAATTTCTTCCAAAATAATAACTAATTTGCTCAAGCAGTCCCAGTAACGTGTCCATTGTGAGACTTCTTACTGTGTTTGGCATATTGAATACGTCATGGGGAGCTTGCCAGGCTTTGCCGTGCGGGCAAGATACTCTCGGTAGCTTTCCAGTTTGAACCCGGTTCGGTCGGATTGGCTGCATGCAGGCAAACGCCCTACCACTGTGCTATCGCTCCAGCTCAGTAACTAATGTACCAGTAAAATTTTAACTGTTTAAACTTGCTTTCAGTTTGTGTATATATATATGTGTGTGTGTGTACATATATATATATATATATCCAACAAATGTATGTGCATACTCGTTTTTTATTAGTGAAATACCATGAGGTACAGTTGTAGACTTACAAACTTTTGTGCTTGGGTTTCAGTTATACAATGATTGAGTAACCATCCCTTTACTAGTGCCCATTCTCCACCACCAATGATCCCAGTAGCCCTCCCACCCACCACCACATCCCCTCCACCCCACCCCGCCTCTGTGGCAGGGCATTCCCTTTTGCTCACTCTTTCCTTCAGGGTATTGTAGTTTGCAATAGAGATATTGACTGGCCATCGTTTTCTGTTTATAGGCAACTTTCAACATGCATCTCTCATCCCAAAGAGTCCTTCAAACATTCTTTACTTGGTGTTCCCTTCTCTATTTGAGCTGACTTTTCCTCCAGCATGTGCTGCCAGCTTCCCAGCCGTGGAACAAACCTCCTGGTACTTATCTCAACTATTCTTGGGGGTTTGACTCCCATTCTATTACTTTATATTCCCCAGATGAGTGCAGTCTTTTTTTTTATATTTATTTTATATTTATTTATTTATTGAATCACTGTGGGAAAAGTTACAAAGCTTTCAGGTTTAAGTTTCAATCATGCATGATTAAACACCTTTCCCTTTACCAGTACTTATTTTTCACCACCAAGAACCCCTATATACACCCCGCCCACCCCTCCCAATGCCTGTGAGGAAGATGAATTCTACTTAACTCTCTATCTACTTTGATTACATTCATTATTTCGACAAAAGATGCACCATTATTGTTTAGAGTTTACACCCAGCAATCATAACTGCTGAAAAGGCATTGTGAAATAATTTGTTTTCTACAGCTGGTAATGAGAGCCATATGATGTCGCGGCTGTGCGATTTTGGATTTCTGATATTTTACTTATTAAGTCTGGAGGGATTTCTGCCGAGAGCCACATAATTACGAGATTTGTTTCTGCGACTCTGGAGCCATGGCGGTGCCAGAGAACCGCTCGTGGTGGGGCAACTCGTGACCTCGGTAGGGGTTGAAGGACGAGCTGGGAACGCCCCCCTTCCCATGAGGTTGCAGTTGCCCTGTCACCGCCGGCTCATACCTGGCTTTCCAAAAAGCTCTGAGGCAGCCGCCATCTTGCTGCCCAGGGGGATAGAGACGGAAGGGAGCGACACCCCTTCCTCACAGAGAGGCATGGTACCATGGATTAATGCATAGTCCATTCACTTTTCTGCCACAAACTGCCAGGCTCTGCATTAAGTCCTTGTGCCTCTGGAGCTATGGCCGTGCGGGAGAGCCGCTTGTGGGAGCAACTCATGACCTCGTTAAGGCATGAAGGACGAGCCGGGAATACCCCCCTTCCCACGAGGTTTCAGTTGCCCCGTAACCACCGGCTCATACCTAGCTTTCCAAAAAGTTCCGAGGCCACCACCATCTTGCTGCCCAGGGGGAAAGAGGCTGAAGGGAGCAACAGCCCTTCCCTCCCGGAGAGGCATGGTAACGTGGATTAATGCATAGTCCATTCACTTTTCTGCCGCAAGCTGCCAGGCTCTGCATTAAGTCCTTGTGCCTCTGGAGCCATGGCCATGCCGGAGAGCCGCTTGTGGGGGGCTGAGTGCAGTCTTTCTATATCTGTCCCTCTCTTTCTGGCTCATTTCAGGTAGCATGTTATTTTCCATGTAGTACCACTTGTATAAAAATTTTATGATTACATCTTTTCTGGGCTGGAGCGATAGCACAGCGGTAGGGCGTTTGCCTTGCACGCAGCCAACATGGCCGACCCGAGTTCGATTTCTCCGTCCACCTCGGAGAGCCCGGCAAGCTACCGAGTGTATCTCGCCCGCACAGCAGAGCCTGGCAAGCTACCCGTGATGTGTTCAATATGACAAACACAGTAACAACAAAAGTCTCCAATGGAGACGTTACTGGGCCTGCTCGAGCAAATTGATGAACAACGGGAGGACAGTGACAGTGATATCTTTTCTAACAGCTGCTTAGTACTCCATTGAGTAGATGTACCAAAGTTTCTTTAACCAGTCATCTGTTCTCAGGCACTCAGGGGTTTTTTTTTTTTTTCAGATTTTGGCTATTGTGAACAATGCAGCAATGAACATAGTAGTGCACATGTCATTTTGACTGTACTTTTTTGCCTCTCAAGGATATATTCCCGGGAGTGGTATTGCTGAGTCAAATGGGAGCTCAATTTCTAATTTTTTGCAAATCGTCCATACTATTTTCCAAAAGGGCTGAACCAGTCGGCATTCCCTCCAGCAATGAAGGAGGGTCCTTTTCGCACCACATCCGTGGCAACACTGGTTGCTTTTGTTCTTTTGGATGTGGGCCAGCCTCTGTGGTGTGAGATGATATCTCATTGTGGTTTTGATCTGCATCTCCCTGAAGGTTAGTGTTGTAGAACATTTTCTCATGTGCCTTTTTGCCATTCTGATTTCTTCTTTGAGAAAGTTTCTGTTCATCTCATCGCCCCATTTTTTGATGGGGTTGGATGTTTTCTTCTTGTGGAGTTCAACCAGTACTTTGTATATCCCCTTGTCGGATGGGTATTGGGCGAATATCCTTTCCCATTCTGTAGACTGTCTTTGTATTTTGGTCACTGTTTCTTTTGAGGTGCAGAAGCTTCTTAGTTTAAGATAGTCCCATTTGTCTATCTCTGTTTCACTTGCTTGGCCAGTGGTGTGACATCATTGAAGATACCATTAACTTCAATGTCATGGAAGGCTTTTGCCAACGTTGTCTTCAATGTACCTTATGAATTCCTGTCTGATGTTGAGGTCTTTAATCCATTTTGATCTTACAACCCTAATGTCTTTCTGCGAAAGTTTTCATAAAAGAGAATGTTTTTAACTCAAAAATGCATGAAAATTGCTAGATTTTTTGTTTTGTTTTTTATTTTGTGTATGTTGAAACAAGATGATTTTAATTGAACAAAACTAACTTAAACATGAGGGGAGAAAAAGCGAAGAAGTACATGTTCAAGAGAGAATGTGGTTTTCTCTGGAGTGTATAAACCAAGCAAAGAGTGGAAAAGTGACAAGCAAGCAAGATACATAATAAAGGTAGAACATGAGCTTGAAGATCAATTCAGCTTGTTCTTATTGTTTTCTTCCTTCTCCTCATGATAATTATTATGCTTATTACTTTGACTGGGTTTAAGATTGGACCGTGTGTTAAATTCTATATTTGATAGAATTTTCCCTAGAATTTTGGGGCTTTTCTCCATTGTGTTCTATTCTTATTACTGCTATTGAGATGTCCATTATAATTTCTTAGTCTGTTTATTTGATCCATATTTTCCCCCACTGGAAACTTTCAGTATTTTGTTTTTAAGCATCCTTTATTTTCACAATACATGCCTTTGTGTGTGCTTTTATATCTTAGACATATTTAACCCTTGGTTTATTACACTTAATATAGAAGCTTGTGCTCTGTGGGGTTTTTTGTGGGGTGGGTGACCACACTTAGTACTGCAAAGGGATTACTACTTACTCTGTGCTCAGAGACTGTTAATGGGAATTGGATACCATATGAGTTGGTGAAGATTGAACCCAGGTCAGAAGTGTGCAAGACAAGAGCCTTCCCCTCTATACAAATGTTCTGACCCTTAGAAGTTTGTATTCTTTTCTGGGGGA